TTGGTCAGAAATACAAAATTGTAGACAAATTCTTTGTTGGATATTTTATCCATTGTAAAAATCGTAACGCTACTGAGGTGTACCGACTTAAGCCTGTCTCTTATACACATCTAGATGTGTATAAGAGACAGGGCTTTTGTATCACCCGTAGGCTTGTGTTTTTGCATCACCGTAAGGCTTTTCCAACAGTCGCAACGATTCCGCACACGAAAGTTGGTCAGAAATACAAAATTGTAGACAAATTCTTTGTTGGATATTTTATCCATTGTAAAAATCGTAACGCTACTGAGGTGTACCGACTTAAGCAGTTGCTGTAAACCAACTGGTTGACAGAGCGCGCTCATATTCATAGTAATATAGTAGGCATAGTAATTAAGCACAGTTCTACCGACTTAGCAAATTAATTTTTTTTTGAAATATCATTTAGCCTAGGAATTTTATTACAATTTCCGCGTGCTTTTTTGTCACAATGTACTATATAATTGAATTGATTTGAGTCTAACAGAGTTTGAATTTTCTTCTTTTATGCCAATTTTTACCTGTTCTCGAAGCAGTCACAGCGAATCCTAATTTAAAAAATGTAGAATACAAAATGTACTCAATTGTTTGTTTTTATTTTTTGAGTAAAAAACATAAATCGCAGAGTAAATAAACAAAGTGTCTGGTATAAAATAAATATGTGCATCATTTGATTTAATGAAACAATTTGTTAAGCGTTTTGGTGAAAAAATATTTTTGCCAGGCTACCTACGTACACACGCACCAGCCTTGGTGTGCAATAGAATGAAAAACAATATTTAAATAAGTAAATCGAAGTCTTAACGATTTGTTGTTGGTATGATAATTATACAAGAACGGATAGCTTTCGCGCATACTTTAATGCTATTGTTACATATTGAAATGAGTATAATAGTTTTCTTTACTTAACAGCTGGATGTAAGTCCAAACACTAAACGAGGTATTAGGCGGGCTGAGTAGTTCGTATCGTCTTTTATTCAACTCTATTCTACTTAATTCAAGTCCTTCTATGATAACTTTTTTGTTCAACAAGTTCTCTTCACGAAATTGGCAAGGCAATGCTATAATCTCTGAATAAATTGTTCAGATCAGAGCACTATTGCATATACAAGTATGTAGCTGCCAGTCAACCAGTCCGATCAAAATCAATGTAAAGATATTTTTTCCTTATTAAGTAATCTTAATGAGACTTGAATGTTGTTTTTATCGAACGACGTGACCAGAAAGAACTGACACAACTATATATACATACATACTATATATATATGCATATATATATATTGGTAAAAGAAAACCACCTGAAAGGGGTGTTATAGTTTAGGTGCAGCCGAAGTTAACGTTTTTCCTTGTCGTCTTTTCAGAAAGTATTTTATAGAGGTCTCAGAAAAGATAAAATGGCATTTCACCATCCTTAATACTGATTGATACAACTTATTACTTTCTTACTTTTCAAATGAGACGGGATTGACGGTTTGCCTTTTTGGGTTAAGCGATAAATATTGGTTGTGCACCTAGACATTACCTTAGCTCAATACATACGTAGTATCGTATGATTTTCGTTTCTTATGTCTGGGTAATGTGTGAATTATCTTATTGAACATGGGAGCAAACTCTTATGAAGGTACTCTGAAATTGACCAAATGGGTCAATAGTTTGACTACACATTTTTTTGTAATAGAGCTTTGGAGACCTGGATATATTTCAAGTGCCTTTAACATTTTCAAATTACGAGATCATGATATGTTTCGTACTGCTGACCAACAACTTGAAAATGATCCGGATTTTCATCAAAAAAGTATCTTCTGCGATGAGGCTCATTTCTGAATAGCTTCGCCAATAAGCAAAATATGCATTATTAGTCAGACGGCAATCCACATGTATGGACTAGGACAATATGTGGTTCCAACAGGACGGCGCCACAAGCCACACAGCGAACGTCCCAATCAATTTATTGGAAATGGCCCAGTCAATTGGTAGCCTCGGTCGTGCAATTTGACGCCGTTAGACTATTTCCTGTGGAGTTACGTGAAGTCCAAGCGTGCCCGTAATGACCATGCAAAAGAAATTGAGTTTCATACATTATGGCATCAAATGTAGTTTCACAGGCATAAAGAATTTCATTGACATCCCAAATTATGCTTGTTTTATTTTATAGTGTTCTTATTGGAAACCCAGGTTATGTTCTCATATGTTTACAATTTTATGTCGGTTATAGATGTAAACTTGGGCTCTTAAAACAACTTTCATTTTTAGAGTTATGCAGATAAGCCTTTAAAAATATACATTTCTAATAACTAAATTAATTAATTAAGAAAATATTGATATATTTGTACTCTCGCACAAGAATAAAATGGAAAGTTACTACCAGGCATTTCTCGCAGGGTATTCACAGTATATAGTCTTGTGATAATGTTGTGGAGGCGTGATTTCGGTATGACTACTTACTTTTGTATGACTTATAGTTTTGGCGTTTAGCTTCATGTAATTAATTGTAAATTTGCATTCAAGCTATTCACTTTAGAAACAAGGTTTTCAATTTCGATTCTAACTGTGTGTACAATTGTCAATACAGAAAGAAATCTTATTACATTTTAGCTATTTGTAATGTTCACAACAGTTATGCAATGGGTCCTACTGTAAAACTGAGGTATCTATACGCGATATTTATGCCAATGGTAATGACGGAGGTTTTTGGACTATATATGGACTACACAGGTACGTGACCAGAGCTTTTTAACACATGCAAGTAGTAAAGAGATTATATTCAAAATATTTATCCAAAATATATTATCTATATATTTTTTGTACGGATTTGAGTAGGACACAACTGTCTCATATATAGTGGGCACTCTTTATTATTATTTATTATTTTTAAGTGTATTTAAATTAGCATAAATGAACGGAATGATATTGCAAAAGAGAGCAAATTCGAAAACGTAACCATGTCAGAGAGAGTTTGCGAGTGAACATTTTTCTAGTAGATTTAATTTTTAGTTTCTGATAAATTGATTAATTCAAGTGTAGATATGGAAACTACTAATTGTCAATATACAACATAAATAAATAAATTTAAAACTTTATTCAAGATTGTATAGTGAAAGCAATGTTATAACAGCAATATGTTACTTTTTTATGTCCTGCCTTTAATAAAAACGTGTTGTAACGATGTTGTAAAACAATTTATTAAAAACTTTAAAGAATCTACCGAATTCATACATCAGCGGGCTGGTTATGACATTCGATTACACTGTGGTGTTGAAGGATTGATGGATGAAGAACAGCTTGCAAATAAAAAGATCTATTGGTTTTTTAAGGTTGGTGCTACCAAAACTATTCATTATATTTACATATCAACCTTTAAAATTAATGTACATTTTTACAAGTGTCGAGAAAAAACGTTCATCGCCGAAAATTGCCATAAGTGGATGCAGTTGCCTTGTGAAGAAAACTTTTGCCAATCAGACTTGTTGCTCCACAATGTCACTGAGGAGTATTCTGGCTTATATAAATGTACCGTTGTGCCACTGAAATACAAATCTGGGCATGCGCTTGATATTCAATTCGTTCGTACTTATCAACTTGATGTGAAAAGTAAGTGAGCAAAAATGAGTAGAAATCTATATAAGACCATTGTAAGCAATTTGTAGAGATTTAAAAATTAATACGAAGTATAATATTCCTTGCAGATACTAGTGCCGCTATACCCAAATTCGTAGATCCATACCCTTTAAATAAGACGGCTGTTATCAATGACCAAGTGGTGTTTCAGTGTCGTGTGCAAAGTGAAGAGCATCCCACCATAAAGTGGTTTCGTCGCGCTCCAGCTTCTCATCCCAATAGCTTGGAAAATATGGGTGTCAATAGTAATAATCTTAATGCGCACATAGTCCATTATAACGGACATACCTATGAGCTGTTGCATACAGCTGGCGAGAAATACATTGGAGAGGATATGTTTTTAAGCAAATTGATATTAAATGGAGTGCGACTGAGAGATGAGGGTTACTATGCATGTGCTGCTATCACTTTTCATGGCTATAAAATTCGAGAAGCATACTTAGAAGTTCATCGTCAAGGATATGTAGAAGACTACAGCGCTAATGGGGAAGCATATACTGATCCGAGTGAATTCTGGTTACTATTTTTAATGCCTGTGGGGTTAGCAATGCCACCGCTGATATTTTGGCTAAGCTATTTGATTTATAAACGGTTCACCATGCATGCGGAGATTCAAAGAAACTCGCAAACTTATTCCGAAGACTTCATAGAAGACGATAATTGTGTGCTTAGAGCGTAGTAGTGCGAAAAAAGTGTTAAAACTCATAGTTTATATGTTGTATGCAATGAGAAATAATTACAAATAAGATAAATACGCTTATTAATTTAACTAAAGTATATATATAAATCAATATGAATATTAATTAAATTAGGTATTCAAGCTCATGCCTGATATAGAGTATAATTATTGTAAATAATTTACGAAATAATTAAGAACATTGCCATACTATACCCATACATTTATGCATATGCATACCTATGTATATAAATTCATGATTGTATAATATTTATCTATCATAATTATTTATTAAATATTTATATGTATATTATTATTATTTTTATTTTTTAAATATTTATTTAAGCGCCAAATAATTAAGGATGTCTAAAAATGTTTCTTTAACAAAGAAGAGTTCGTTCTTTGGATTAATTGAATTCTAAAATTAAATTTTGTGTAAAAAATTACAGAAAATACACTAACTGCTAATATATAAAAATGATAATAGTTTTTACTGATTTGTAATAAAAAAAATAAAACTAACTGAAATAACTTCTAACAGCAATAAAATTTGCTAATACTTGTCTAAATCGTATTCGAAAATTTTTAATAAAGTGTTCGAAAATTAATATTCGACCAAAAAATTGATTGTGTAGATTCCAAAACCGAAACAAACACGAAATTAAGAGGAATATCAACTTGATATAAAATGTTTTTCAACATTGCTTTTTTTAAAAATCAAAATTTGTAGCAATCAAGTTCAAAATTTTTTCATCTCTGTCAATTATAATTCGAGTGTAATATATCTATTTTTTTAAATATATATTTATATAAACTTACACATAATTAGTATCGTTAACTTGATGATATTGGAAATTTATTTGAATTTTTATTTGATGCGCCAATTTCAAGTGCATATTTTTTACTTACGCATTTGCATCAACATCGCCAATCAATTGGAGCCAATAGAGTCACCTGAAGCGTTGGAAGTCTAGATTTTTAAATCATCAAATTGGATGAAATGTCAAGAAAGCGTAACTCGAATCGTATATCGATGGCGCTTTTGCACTCGATTGTACCATGTCCCAGCATTGAAGAATACGAATGTGAATATTATCGGCCTGGTTGTTATTGCATACCGCAAGCGATGCCACATGTCGCACCCTATACATGCGCTTATCTCCACGATTACGTGCCTCAGTGGACGGCTGCCTGTCACACGGCCACTTATGTGGTGGATGCTTACGGTATGGTTTATTATCTCAGCGATTTCGAACATCAGTTGCAATTTCCCAATAATATGGTTCACACGGATATCGTTTACCACTTACCAAACTTTTTTGATGGTCAGGACTATGAGGTAGCGACAGAGGAGGTCGAAAGTGAAATTGTGAGTCCACGTAAACGCGAACGTCTTGAAAATGAAAATGATTCTGAAGACATGGAACCGGAATATAACAAAGATTTTTGTCAAGATTACGAATTTTCTGATGTCAATTCTGAGAGTAATCCACTAAAAAAGTCCAATGACTCTGATCATGAGTATCTTGTGGAAGAACCATCTGATACAGAAACTAAAGTTTAAGAGTGAAATGAGCGCAGAGTAAATTGTACTTATTTGTTTCATTGTTTGTATATTTTGGAAACATCTTATTGAATGTACCCATTGTCGAATATTGCGAATAGATTTTTATTAAATTTATGTAGAACTGAATTTTGTTATTACAAAGGTTGTACATACTCTTTAGTAATTCGTTATTACCGATACTAAACTGTCTAACGAGGGTCGCCAAGTAGCATAAAGCCATTATTTCTTTTATTTTAGAGCAAGGTCTAAAAAAGTTTTATACAAAATCAGCACCAATCCACATTATGATTGAGAATTCAACTTAATTACAGTAAAATATCATACATTTTGATCAATGTATACCGCGAATATTGAGGCTATGGGAAGATTTGATTTGATTGGTTTAACTTTTAGCAATGCTCAAGAATACTCGAGAACATGTTTTGCTCAATTTTAGGTAGAGGTTTCACGCAATGACCGTTATATTCGGAATAGAGTCTGCTAAAATTATGAAAGTCGTTATATATCGTTATATGTATGTAGTATATGCGAGCTATAGTATAACACTATAATGTATCCAATGTTACACGTTTACTTAATTTTATTAAGATATCTAACATAAAGCCAATCGCGAGTTCGTAATTTTTATATGAAGTGTATGGGGCCTAGGTGATATATTGATACGATTTTATACATTTTTAATATTGCGACAGACAGAGATACCTCGCATATTGACCGATATATGGACATACATATATAGTATAAAACCAACTGGAACTTTGAGAATTCTTATATTAGGTATGAGGGGGCTATGAATAGCCTTTAACCGATTTTAACCTTTTACGTACCAGAATTCATTATTACTAGGAAAAAACGTTCTTTAATTTACTTTGCAAGTCAGCGATAGGCACTCAGGTTCACATATTCAATGTCTGGCTTACTTAGTTATGGCCCTCTTATGCGTTATCTACTCGTATTAATGTAATTTTGTGAGCGTGGTAATGGTGCAAGAGAATTGCGAGAGTATAAAAGTATACATACTTAAAATACCGTTTTTTATTTTGTTTCAGATAGCACTAGTTTCTAAAAGCACACTCACTCATCGAGACCCTCTGAAAAAGGAGGTCCGGAGATTGTTGTGCCAATAGGTTCAAAGCTGTTTAATAAAGTTTCACAGAGAGAAATTAGTTTCTTTTCTCCTTACTAATAAATTTTCAACATTTGGGCTCCATCTTGATCTAACTCTTTTATTATTGGATATCAAAACTAATTTTAGATCTGTAACATTAAGGTCAGATATTTCCTTTGTGGTATGAGCATTCTTTGATATGTAAGTACATATATTGAACTATGCATTTACTCAGTCAGATATAACCAGACATACATATGAAGAGTGTCTCATGATACTCACAACGAAACTCGGGTTTACGTAGGTTGACTTTTATATTTCGGAATTTGGCAACCCATGTGTTATGGCAAAATTTCACATTTTATGATGTTGATCTATTTGTTTTGTTTACAGTAACTTAAAATATTTATCTCTTGCCAAAAAATGCAATTAAATCGCGTAGATTTTCGCGCTATTAATTTTTACAACTGTCGACGTGTACTCGTATTAATTCAGCAACAGTGCATCCATGAACCTCATTGTATTTTTAGCGATGACGCAGCCATAAACTTAGAATAAGGCAGAACAGTATATTTTGAGTACGATTTGCTTACCAATTGCCTTTCAAGAATAAGGAAAACCAACCGCCAAAAACACACATCGACTGAAACAACTGCATTTTTGAGCAATCAAAACATTGATTGGATGTGACTAGTCCTGACTTGGCACGGAATGGCTTCTTTTTATTTCCGTACGTTAAAAATATACTAAGAGGTCAACGTTTTTCGACACTTGAAGAGGCGTTGAATTCATTCTGAACTCTTGTTTTGGAGATACCACAATCAGAATGATGAAAAGCCTTTTTAAAAACAATAAAGCGATTTTAGATATTTAATATATATTTTTGTTCTCTAATTTCGAAATATAAAAGGCAACCCTCGCAGAATGTGTCTATATTTAATTATAAGCATCTACAAACATTGCGTCTAGTCGGTAATTTTTCTCTTTATGCTTGCTCAGTGCATATGTACATAACTCAATTCAGTCACTTGCCTGCTGTTGGGACGAGAAATACAAATCCGACAACAATTCGTATAAAAGTTAAAAAGCTATTAAGTAAGCGCAAGTGGCATACAGATACATTTTATATTAATAATAAAATATTTGACTATTTTTGGATTCTCTCATAAGTATTACTAAGTGTTTTATGAAATGATTGTATGGCTTCATGCATATGGTTATTGAAAATAAGTGCAATTGTATAAAAAGTTGTACCGAAAAACTGAAATTTTTTAGAAATAACTGGCAATATTAGTGTGGTGAAACAAAAAACATCACTCATACGCCAAGATGGTCAATCTCGATTGCCAGTCCAGGCGAAGTACGAAAATATCGGTTATTATTCTGGGTGGTGCACTATGCACCGTTATGATGGCCTATTTCGTTTTTGGCGATAATAACGACGAACAGGGTCTAAGAAACCTTCGAATGATCTCGATTGTAAGTGTTTATCAATTTGGTACAAAAAATTTTGTTTGCTAAATAACCTCCTATGTAGTTTATCTAGGGAATTTCGATAACACAGATAAAATAATTAAATAAAAGTATGTCAACAATTATACTCGTTATTTCACAAAAAAGGAATGAATAAAATGATAAATTACGTTACAAAACGCTATTTATAGGTTTTTCGACATGGTGAGAAAACACCAAGCTCCTTTTACCCCACTGATCCACATGCGCTACATGAGTGGCCGGGTGGCTTGGGAGCACTTACACAGGTAATTAACTGTTGAACAGATATACATATATTTACAAATTTATTGTAGTAGATATAATTTAAACTTTTTTAGAAAGGCAGTCAACAGGCTTACAATTTGGGTAAAAACTTGCGCATGCGTTACTATCGTTTACTGCCCCCAAACGGTATTTATACGCAGCAACAGGTACTCGCTTCAAGCTCGGCGGCTGAACGCTGTATTATGAGCGCGCAAAGTGTCTTGGCAGGTTTTATGCCACCACTTGACCACAACAAGGTTTTGGTGAGTACTATCATGCATATTTGATATATTGGTTACAAAGTTTTTTATATACAACCACTTTTATTTTACATTTAGCCAATCCCATGGCAGCCAGCGGCTGTAAATGTTATACCACGAAGTGAAGATACGGTATGCTATTCTGTAGATCATAAATGTTTTAACGAAGAACACGTTTAGATGCACTGAGTGGTTTATACTAATATATAGTATTGTGTAATTCGTTTTGTAAGGTTATGTAGTTTCTTATACCCTGAGCAGGTTATATTAAGTTTGCCACAAAGTTTGTAACGCTTGGAAGGAAACGTAGGAGACCCTATAAAATATATGTATACATATATGTATGTTTGTATGATCAGGGTGACGAGCTGAACCTATTTAGTCATGGCCTCTGTCTGTCTGTATGTACGCGAATTAGTTCCTTAGTTTTTGAAATATCGATCTGAAATATCTTCTTGGAAATGCCGTCGTTGAACCAAATACATACATATATACAGACATATGTATGTACCTATATTATAAACTGAATGATCAAAATCAAGTTCTTGTATAGAAACCGTTTTATTTGTAAAGGATATTATCGCTGCAGTGTAACCGAAGTTAACGTATTTTCTTATTTTGAATTCATTTTTATACTAACATACGTAGAAGAACTGTGTTAAAACGTGATATTCATTATTTATATTGATTTTTTACTAATTAAGTTTTTCAAATTTCTCTATAATATTCTAATTGAATTAAGGTATTTCTCGTATATTATTTAGCTCTTGGCGCAAAAGAAACCGTGTTTGAAATATGACACAATTCTGCAAAAATTGTATAAGAATCCACCACCAGAGCTACGAAAATTAAACGAAGAAAATGCGGAATTATTCAAATTGCTAACGAAACACTCAGGCAAGGTGAGTATTATAAGTCATTTATAGCGGATTCTGTAACCAGTCTCTCGTCTCTACTTGAGACATTTTGAGGTAAAATCTCAATTTGTGACTAGTTACTATTCACAAATCAGTCTGTAGCGTGAGTCTCAAAATATTGACTCAAACTTGAGACCTGGTAGTTAGCAGGTTACAAAAACAAAAGGAATTCTTGTCTGCCATTTTGAATATACTGAATAGAGATCATCATAGATATTAACCGATTGTCGTTCTTTTATATTTTGTAAGCAACTCAAACCCGAAAAGGTTAAAAATAAAACAACTTTACATAAATTTCGTAAATATTATGAAACAAAGTCAACATATATTTTTATTTTTATTGATAATTATGTTTTTTGACTATGTTATAGAAAATTTAATATTTGTTATCGACATATTTATTTTCATTCAACTTTAAAAAGCATCTCTGAATAATGAAATGTAATATATTTTTTGACTGTCACTTACAGAATAGCAAAATCGTCTCAAGTCTCTAACTCAAAATCTCAAATTTAGAGACTTGACACTGTATCACAGTACAGAATCGCACGGTTAGTGAATATGTATGTATGTATATAGTACACAAGTAATTGATCAATACATTTGACATAAGTGAATATTCTCTCGTTAAGCATTGAGCACCTTACTTAGAGAACCAAGATATCTTAAGCTGGCAACGACTCCCTTGCTACATTAGACTGTCTAGGATTTAAATATACCCGAAAATCTATAACTTGATGAACCATATGTCATCTGCGCCGATTTCGGTTGGTATGTCTGTATATAATTATTCCAAAATTAGCGTTTTATTGTTGCCCCTGCAGCGTCAAATATTAAAAAGTCGGGACTGTTGTAGGATAACGATTAATTATTTATATATTTGTCTAATAAAATTCTCAACTTTAAAGCTGTTGATGACTGGAAAACCTCATGATCCCCATCCTCTACTAATAGAGAAACATTTTAACGCAGAAGTTAATATGAAGGGTATTTGGATACATAAGTAGTATATTAAAAGGGCAAATAACGACTTTATAAGTCTAGCTAACATTTTTGAAGAAAAGGGAAATTTAACTAACTAAAACAGCTTTATTAGTATAAAGAAAAGCTATTTTCTAAAATCTATTATTTATTCTGAATAAAATATACTTAATCGTATGTGTGAGCAAAACTTGTAAATAATTTTTTTCTCCTACAGAATATATCGACGCTAATTGATGTTGAAATGTTGTATACAACTTTAAAAGTAGAAGCTGAAGCAGGTCTTGTATTACCTGATTGGACAGAAAATATCTATCCTGACAAATTGGAGTCATTAGCCGCTCGTAGTTACTCACTTTACACAGAATCGAATTTAATGAAAAAAGTTAAGGGTGGAGCGTTTTTAGCGGAGATAATTAAAAAAATGGAGAATAAGCGAAGGAAGAATTTAAATCCTGATCGTAAAATATTCTTATACTCTGGGCATGATATTACATTGGTAAATATTATGAATACCTTAAATATACTGGATCAAACAGATACATTACCAAGTTATGCATCTGCACTTTCGTTTGAGCTACATCATAGCTCTTTGTTTAAAGACGATTTCGAAGTAAAGGTACTATAAATTTCATATGTACATCAAACATTCATATTATTAATGTTATATAATATATACATACATATATAAATACGAATCACTTTCAGATCGTTTATTATTATAACAGCGAAGACAAATTTCCAAAGGAAATTCACATACCCAACTGCAATGTTCCTTGTTCACTTACCCAATTCAGCAATTCTATAAATCATCTGTTACTGGACGATTACGATGATACATGCGAAAACCCTACCACAGACTGCAAAAACTAGGAGCGCTTGCAAAATTAATTATGAATATGGACATTTTTATAAAATGTCATTTATAACAGTTGAAGACTAATATGTGTAAGAACTTCCACAACAAGTTTAAAAGCATAGAACCTACTGATAAAAGTAATATGTTGCTTATTTTATCTGAATATTGTTATGATTACGGAATGGCAATTTTTAAATCCCCAAATTGGGGCATTGCATAGATGGGAAATTCAGTTCACTTAATACCGAAATTAGGTACATATATACGTATAAGCAATTATTTCTAAATCAAAACAAGTCGCATGTATATGTTAATATTGTATGAAATGAGCAAATTCCATACTTTATTTAATTTTTAGAGTACAATTTGTTGAAATATTGGAAGGAATTGCTATGTACAAGAAATCAGAAAAGAAATAATTGTAAATAATAAAAATCACGTTTGCTGGCAACGCCAAAGTCCTGTCGGCAACTAGTCAACTCAATGAAAACAGATGTTTGTAATTCTTATGTGAATAATAAATATTTAGATTTTGTGAATTCATAACATATTTGAAATAAGCTTAACAAAACCTTTTACTGTACAATTAAAGTTTAATTGAGCATAAGGAAGAAACTATTAATTAAGTATTTTAGTTGAGCATCAAGAAACCAACATAAGGAAGAAACCACATTTGATTTGCTTTTCTAGGTGAGTAAGTTGTATTCTTTTCGGAAGATAGGATGAATTAAGATTTCGCAATTTAAGCTAGCCCAGCTTCAACATTGTTACAAACCTAAATGAATTTCCAAAAATTATTTTAGAGAATGGTGGTGTTACTATTTCCGGTTGCGTCTTCAACTCTTTTTGGGTATGGAGATTTACACTACATCATTTACGCTATTTATCAATAGGAAAGATATACACGTGTACATACATATGTCTTCATCAAGAATGTTAGAATGCATAAATCATGATTGTATTTTCTTTGAATATAAATCGGCAAGCCAGCTCGAAATTCTTAAGTTTACCAGAAACCTGGAAGTTTATATTTACTTGGAAATATGTAAAATCTGTTAAAATTATTATGCTAGATAAAGTAGCGGTAGAAAATATTCCTGAAATAATTTCGAGGAATTGTGTCGAGTTGATAGTACTTGGCCAGATAAAAATTCAGATCCGTGTCGGTTACTTAAACCCGACTGTCGTTATTTCAGTGTTTGGATTGGGACTATTACGTCCTATTGACCGATGATCATATTATATAATATAAAATATCTAACACTTCGCAAGACATTTTAATAGTACATTGTAACGAAATTTAATTTTTTATTATTATTTATGAATTAAAGATATTTTATCACATTGAATTGTAATCAATGATTGCACAAAACCAAAATATTACATACCAAAACTTCATTTCGGTAAATTTACATACATACATAGCCACTATATGCTATAGTGGTCCATTCTCAGCAGATTCGGAGATTATACCGTTGCCATAAATAATAATCCCTGCCAAATTTATCGCAAGGACTAGTTTTTGATCGCTCCAGTTTCGACAAATGAGCAGCTTCTTGAAAAAATCGATATACATATATACAAAACGATAAACAAATATTTATAGCATTGTTTTTACTTTTCCAATATTAATTGAAAATAGTGACACATTATTCTGGTTAAGACATCTAATTCAGATTTAATATTTTAATCAAAAGAAAGCAATATTTTCTCATGAACTTCATATGCCTTAATTTGCGCAAAAATTTTATCAACTTCGATTTATTTATTTTTTAAGTATGTACATGTCTATACTGACATAAAAGTAGAATAGAGATCTTTTCTTTTAAGGACCAATTCTAGTTAAGTGTAAATGACAACTCATGCACGTAGTCCTATTTCATTCTATAGCGATGTGTGTGTACAGTCTATGTATTTATTGAGTTTATTTTGATAATCATATATTTTCAGTTTGCATTATCAACAGTTATGAAATTAATTGACAAAGGCACGCGGCACACGTCTGATGCATGCAGACGCATAATACGTTCACGGCCCAATTAATAGTCATAATATGTATATCAGCAGAACCCATTTATCTCCTCTGTGTACTAAATTAATACTTCATTTTTGGGTTTAATGTATGTACATACATTAATATTTATATATAAAAACTTGTGAACATATACATATGTTGACAGTAGGAATATTTTTACAATACTATAACACCAATATTATTAGTGGTTATACTTATTAGTAATATTGTTGTTGTTGTAGGGACAGAATTAAGCCGAGTTGATAGTGTTTCGTGGTAACAGAAGTAAATAATGAGATTCCCCATATGAGGCTTTTTCGAAGTTATTTGAAAACTAGAATGAACGGTTATATCAAAACTAAGATAAGAACAAGTTAGGACGGCAAAGAAGGAGGAAGGTAATATAACGTTGGTACGAAGTCCGATTTCGTCCATGTTCGAATTAAAATTTTTATTACCTAGTTAAAGAATTTTATAATTTTCCTATTGAGAACGAGCAAATAATTTTCCTTGGAGTTAAAAAAGAACAATTTTTACAATTTAACTTTTACGTTATCATTGATATCGTGAAGATTTTGTCACATCCCATACTCTTTAAATATTTATATGTATGCTATACTGGAAGTATATCTGTACTTTCAACCGCACTATTTGCATAAGTTCAATATTTGTTATCAATTTACAAGCACCTAATGTAATGTAATGTAAAGTATCGACGAAACTACTACAACTATTTTTTATACTCCTAACATGCGAACGGAAAACAATTACTTAAATAGTCTGGAAAAATTTAATTATGAAAACGAAGGAAATCAATTAGTTTTGATATACTATTTAGGGAGTTAAAATTCTCCGCACCAGTCACCAAAGGCTATAATCGCGTAAGCGGTGACTACGCCAATCAAGAAGAAGAAGTCACAAAGTCAAACCTTCTCACATGACATTAAAAATCTTTTCATAAAATTTAGTTACCAATAAGTAAGAGTTTAAAAAAGTCTTGAAAATCTTGGCAATCAGCTATTTATGGCGTGATTTCATTCGAAATTTATATGAACAAAATAATTAAAACGATATTCCCAGTTTGATGAAAAAAAACAACATATACAAGCACAAAAAACAAATATATGTATAAATAAAGAAGTGAATGCTATAATAATCTAATTCGTACACTAATATTGGCGTTGCTTCGACCTTTGTTATCAACAGCTGTTAAAAAAAGGAGACTCAAAAGTATTTTGTTTTTTTCAGCCAAAGTTTTTACTCATAATTCGTATATTTAATGCCCATTTAGTAAAATATTTCAATAGTAAACTTTTCATGTATGTATTTAGTTTCTTAATAAATCTCGGAGAATATATTCTGATTTTTAACTCCAGTCTTGGACCAAATTTTACCATTGATTTTGTAATTATCTGAAACCTATTTATACAATATAAAGATAGGAGCTAAGAGTCAAAGGGATAATAATTACTATCATTCTCTTATCTTATCTAAATTAAATTGTGCTAAGGGTAACATCTTCAACTACGGTAACAATTCAGTCTGAAACCCGAAAATCATAATTGTGGTTATATGGGAGTTTCGATTTAAATAGATGAAATTGTTATTTTTTTCAAACTAATATTAACTAACTAAGGCAGCCTCGCTTTTGAAAAGAAATATGTACATATAATAATAAAGGTCTAGCTTTTGGTAAAATATTAGCCTGATAGTTTACACTCGATTTTATCCACTTTAGGCTCAAAGATACATTGTTATTTGTAAAACGCACTTTCTCATTCATCATTCATCACATATTGGCCGATACTTGTATGCGGTATAAGTAAACCGGAAGTTCGAAGATCTTTATATTGGTATATGCTGCTAAGGGAGCCTTCATATGATTCAACCCATTTTGGCATATAGGGTTCCTATAATCAGCAAAGAGTTCCCTTTAAATTTCAGTTAAATAATTCACATATGATCGTATCTGTACGGTTTTGTGTGTATTCGTTGGTGCTGGAAGGGCACAAATGTGATGTAATTTAAAATTTCACTCAGTAATATATGAAAGGCAATATAATGTGCACTGAATTTGGTTGACATAGTAGGTCGATCAACATGTTTAAGAGTATAAAAAAACTCCTTACTTTTACTTACTTTACAGTAATCATTATAAAATATTGTCCAGTTTCAATATATACTATATGTATACTTATGTATATCTTAAAAGTAAGTATTTAAATGAAGTCCATATATTTTCCCGATACAATCTGCTTTTCGCTCCTCTGAAAATAAATAAAGATTTTTGCATGGGTTTAAAAGAGTTTTGCGGGTTTGTTTACAATTTAGATGCAAAACTGACAATTTTTCTGTTATCTCTTCTCATTTTCCTCAGCGACGTTACATGTCGCAATGTGGTCTGTCATTGCTTTTTACTTTTAGGTTTGCAAATGGTACAGGGTATGTAGTTTTTTATTAAATCTCGGCAAAATACATACGTGAATATATTCATTTGAAGTTATCACTTAAATAGATACATATGGATGTACCTGTAATTATAAATACAATATATGTATAAATGATTGTCAGAACATATGGATTTAGATTAGGAATAAATAAACTGCTCTTTCCGCAACACGTGATCGATTGCTGTCAGTCTTGCGGTTGCTTAGCCTATACTCTTATGGAATTCGAACCAAATTTGTACGCGTATACATATGTGCATACATTCTTGTAATGTCTCCGTGTAGTCGTGTCAATTTCAAATTGAACGCACTTATGATCGATATGAAACAGCAGCAACAACACACAACACTTACAGAAGAAAAGCTGTAAAGCACGAAAGTATAAATATTCAAATTAGGATTATGACATAACATTGAAATACAGAAAAAACTGTTTATTTAAAATATAATTTATACGCCATATATCTATAAGAAATTTGCTAACCCACATAAATTATATTTAAGATCATCCATATTTCGATACTTAACGTAAAAATTTTTCTAAGTTTTTACCCATATTCATCTCCCCCTTAACAAAAATCTCTAAATAATAATCTAACGTCGTATACTAAGATATCGATATAGAAAAAGCAACTCCATAAATTAGTTTATTATTGTCGTACCTTTGAACTGAAAATTAACTTTTAGAGCACGATTGCTTGTTGATAAGTCGAATAAATGTTTTTATCACCAATCAAAAAAAACCAAAAAACAATTTTAATAATAGATTATAATAAATAACCATGAATAATGCACAGTAGGAATTTATATTGTACTCATATAAAACTTTTTACACGTACCGTGGTACAAATTACAATTACAAATTAATTTAAAAATAATGTATTTTATAACCACTTCTTTTTGAAAGCTTACAAAGAAACCGTACTCTAGAATTATAAAAAAAAATGTTCGATTTTTAAGCACATGACTAAAATTTGCAGAATAAAATCTTCAGATATGCATTGTAACATAGTTTTGATATAATGCACGAATTTGAAATTGTTAATGTTGCACAGTAAACTTTAAGAGCTATCGTATTAAAATTGACGGTATTGACTTTAGAAGCTTACAAATTTCTCAGAATTTTAAATATTTGAATTAAGTGTCGTTGACATTATTGAGTATAATATAATATAATATTTTTATAAAATACTTTGTACACTTTTCGATAAATATTTTTTCGCAAGTTAATTGTCTAATCATATCAATATTTAATTTTATTTTTATTATCCCTCGTAACAAGAGTCTAAAATAGTTTGTCTTTTTAATTTAATTCGAATTTCATACTTTTAATCCATACCTCAATGGTACATAAAGCACGAAACAAACACATAATAGACGAGGAACGGCGAACTGTTGTGAAAATGCTTAAAAACAAATCTAAAGCACTGGAAATCTGTTTTTTTTTCTAAAGTTTTGTAATTGTTGTAATCTTCAAATGCACCACATTACCTCTATTGTTCAAGTACGCTTTTTGGACGTATTGTTATTTTTAATCCATAAAAAACTATAGGTTTAATGAATATCTCGTTTTCAATCTAATCTAATCTCGTTTGCTTAAACTTAATCTCTCCTTATGCGATTTGAGTTTCATATATTACTTCTCCATAATGATATTCTGATATGTTTTCTTTGACACCAATTATTAGAAAATGATGAAATAAACATAAATTAAAGCATTTACTTTTATATGATGCAATTATCACCAAAACTCGCGATGACATAAAATTACTACAATTCATATACATACATAAGTATGTACTTACGTGCATAACAAGTGCATGTTGATAATAGAAAAACGATTACTGTAAAATAGGCAAATTATTACAAAATTAATCTTCAGATTTAAGGAATAAAACATGCGATTATTTCGACGCAACGCAGTTTGGTTATCCCCTTTGACCGTGAAATTAGATGATTAGATTCGTATGTGTTTGCATAAAATATCAGTGCGTTTTAGTGCACGATCATCAATAGACTCAGTGGTGATATTTGCAAAATAAACAAGTCTTAAATAATAACTAATACTTGGATTAATACAAATACATTATTTATAAGTTTTTTTTCCCGAATGTGATAAGGGATAGAACATCTGTATGTGTTTTTGAGAATTGCTGGGAACGCCGTAACTAAGTACATATTATAGACCAAAATCGCATGTTGCGAAGGTATGAATATACCTACATACATACATATGAGTAAATACACATCGAAATTAAATTGTTTTTGTATTTTGCTGATTTTCTCAGTACTTTTCATGCTGTGAGATTGTGTGCAGAAAGCCCCTCAAGCTAACGAGAACACGCGTCGACAGATCTATTAAACGATTGCAAGCCCTAACGCTCTCTAAAGGCGCATACCTCGCTTGGACAAGAACAGTTCGACTAGAAGTCGCGAATAGTACGGACGCCTGGTAGTGATATAGCAGTCGTGGTATTAAAAGTTGCGGAATTGCACTCATACAACGCGAGTGTTTTTCTATGTTACAACAATAGAAAGTGTAAAATTTACAATAAACGTACCTATAAATATATATAAACGTCAATTTGTGGATAAATCGCAGTTATTGTTTATACATATTTCCAAAGCGTATTGAGCGTCGAAAAGAAGTATATAAAAAAAAAAAACTTGTAATAAATTTTCTTTCCTGGAATCTAAAAAAGGTTAGTTTTTAGTTATGGAAATGCAATCATTTAAAACTACTGACGTACTGCCTCGATGACAATATAGCTCCTAGTAGGTTTAAAATTCTTCAAACTCTGCTCATATTTGGTGGACCAACGAGTGACTTTTAGCAATTTTTTCTTTTGAAATTAATAAATTTTTTTTATTTCTTGTAATTTATTTAGGTATACGCTTCATTGGTTAATTTTTGGTTTTAGCATTTTACTGTAATACCTTGTCGTTATTATATAAGTACAACAATAATTCTTTCTGTGCATAAGTAAAACTCCAATTCTCAACAACCAGTTTTGCCAGCAGCATCATGACAAAATTCAAGTTTCTCCGTTTCTCGGTTGTCATTAGCACGCAGACATAAAATTTCAAGGTGTCTTAAATTATTTAAATAAGCATATACATAAATGCATACATATTTGTTTGCACACACTTATGTACGTTCTTATGCTGGCTAAGCCTTGCTAAATACTTTTTTCAACCTTAAATGCTATTGTCTTTTGACGATCTTTGAAAATTTTATACATTGCACATGCTGCAACTACTGTTTTATAGTAAAAAATTATTTAATGATTTTATTTTATTTATCTGAATTTTATTTTGTATATTATAAATTGATAAAATATTTATAAACATACTGTATTATATTAGCGAAATGTTGATAACTAAAATTAAATTCGTTTCAAATTAAATTTTAGCTACTAAAACTATATTTTCTATATTAGTCATTTCAGGGTGTTGTCCATCGTCGCGTTCAAATTTACGACTTATTTTTAACATAGCAAATACAGATGCAATTTCCATTTTTTTTTTTTTAATTTCATCAATTAATTAATTTTGGATAATATACACAAAACAATATTGTTTTTAATCCTTTTACCTTGAAGAGCCCTTGAATGCATCGCTTCGAGCTTCAGAAACTTGAAAACAAATATTTGTTTACCTAATGCTTGTAATCCTAGTTATGCATAGCTACAATGCAACAAAGTTGTTTTCAATCATTTTAAAGCTTGACAAAATAACAGTGATTTAAAAATATTGATTATTTGACTATGGTTTTCAAATTAAAGCTAAAAAATGTTTGGGAAATCAGTGAAAATTTACAGATTTTCAAAATAAATAAAATTCAAGTGCATTCCCTTTCTGTTAAATGGCCAGAAAAATTATTAAAATATGCATTTGTAACACAACTTTAAGCTCTTAAATGAATTATGCATTGACAACTACAAAGTATGGCGTTCATTTCCCTTATTCTTAAAGTATTAAATGGGCGCATGCCTGGGTGAAAAAAATTTGCATTGCTTAGCGCACACGGAAATGGAACACCCATTTAAAATATACAGTTCATTGATACCTGATCCCTTGATGACGGGGTGCGTCTTTGTATTACTTTATAATTTCCATATGTAAGCCCTATTTACACGTGTATATTATATATTTAAATGACTAAGGTATAAAAACTAATCTAATTCCAATTTCACTTCAAATCGGAAACTGATTACTTCAAGTCGGAGGTACTGCGTATGATTGTAGTTTACGCAAATTGTTTCAACAAAAACTTTAAAGCCGGCGATCAAAGGTTAATCACATATTTTTATAACTTATGAGTGAATAAAGAAAATAAAACATACATATGTGTACATACATTTTTTTATATATACATATGTAGTTGTCAAATACCATATATATTCATTTACACACTTACTATGGATGTGTGCATATACAATTGCGGATAAAAAAATAAGAACAGTACCTGTTAAAAACAAAACGCTTGAAAAAAGTTGTATTCCCCAAGTTCTCTTTAGTAGTATTCAGGTTGGGAAAACGATATTAAAACCTCAATTTTATTGTGAATAAATCAATTTCGTGCATGAGCCGATGAAAGTCTGGACTCCTCGTCCTGTTAAAACTTCCACTTTAGCGGCATCTTCTATTCTGCAAAAGGCAGCATAATTTCATTTAATATGCAGGCGTAAATAAATCGGGGTTCTTTTATTCAATACAGAGAATCCAAACCATATCAAGAAAAGCATCCCCATAGCATGTTTGTCTCCCATCTACTTAAAAGCTTTTGCAGTACATTTGGGGAAAAACTAAACTAAACTCACCATGTTTTCGTCTGTCTATAGTACGTTACGCAATTTTTTACCTTTATTGGGTCGACATGAGTTTTAGCGAACTTGAAATTACATCGGAAATGTTTTCTGCCGCTACAACAACAACAACTGTTCTTCCATAGATTTATTAATCAACCAGATGTCTCCTAACTGCTCCAGCACAAATTTGAAATCCAGTATCCATCCTAATTGCGGCAGCTGATTTAAACCTCCCACATACCTACCGCTTTCGAGTGTGAAATTACAAAAACAAATAAATTTGGCCGTAATTTACACAAAACCGTTTTTTCTTCTGTCCATATTTTATTGTCCACCTTCATATTGGCAGTATCCGGGGAATACCCAAAACCAATTTAGCTGCGGAGTTGCCATCTTTGTGAGCATGAGATGCCACCCAATCCTCTAACCAAATAGTTAACAATAAAGAGGCCAACCAATTTTCAATCGTTCATATTTATTGTCCGACACTCTACATAACAATATTTTACTTAGTATGATTTACTTTTTTATTCGGTCACAAGCTGTGGACTTTAAACACCAGTAGACAAGTTATATGTATGTATATAGTTAGATATATAAATATATAAGAAATATTGTAATATTTCGATTTCACAATACAAGTACTTCATTAATTTATAGATATAGATGCATTAACTATGCATTTTTAGTCATGACGTGGAGAAGAAATGTTTTTTTTCACAATCCACAAAAATGGAAACCCTACAATCTGCGCCAACTATCGTGGGATAAGCCTCAACATCACATATGAGGTTTTACGGGTATCAGGTGTATTGTGAGAAAAAATTAAAGCCCACCGTCAACAAACTAACTGGACCTTGTCAGTATGGCTTTAGGCCTGGCTAATAAAAGAGATTCGACACACACCACCTCTTCGTCGATTTCAAAGCTGTTTTTGTCAGCGCGAAAATGAGCTGCCTTTATGCCGCTATGTCTGAATTTGAAAAAGTTATACGGCTGTGTAAACTGACGTTGAGTCTGAGCCGTTGGATGCCAAACGAGGTTTCAGACAAGGCGTGTCCCTTTCGTGCGACGGAGATGGACCTGGCTTCGCTTGGAATCTCCAATTGGCACCAAGCAGCAAAAAGGCAGAACGACTGGCGTGCTGTTGTAAATTCGGCTATAACCACGTAAGCGGTGTCTACGGCAATAAAGAAGAAAAAGGTATACATACGTATGTTGTAGATATACATACACATGTACCATTTATTTAATATATTCTCAGAAAGGTGCTTCCTGGAATTTAGTAGTCTGCGAGGAAATATGAGGGCAATAGGTCGAAATATAAATGGCGGCTCATTTTATTTAATGTTTGTATTTTATTGTTAAAATAGTCATTAAAATATAATAACAACCTGAAAATTTTATGAAAGAAATCTGGACCTTAGCTAAACTCATAAATACATTTTATGATCTACCACAATTAAACAACAGTAATTTTAACGTTGCATCTAATCCACGAGGATGTCCCCAAACGTCTAATGTCAACAATCGCTTTATTTCAATTTAAGCCGTGACTAAATAATTTTACTTTACCAATACTAACAAATAAACATTTAACTTTGAAAAAATAATATTTTAACATATGAATGCGCAGTTACTGAATTTTGAGTCGCGTTGCATTTGATGCACAACCTCCTAACTGTGTATAACTTTGAAAATATATAATTCGACGGGCCGATATTTTTACACAGCGATTTCCCACAAAATGCCAGTTGCTATGGTTTTTGTTCTAGGGGCAGAATTCTGCCGAGCTGACAGTCCTTAGCCGGAAAAAAATTACGGTCCGGTTACGTAGACCCAACTCTCGTGGGAACGAACAAGTAACCAGTTGACATATAAAAACTTTTACATACATCTACATATATTTATGTGCATATACATATGTGCATATAGTATTAAACATTTCTGTGATTCATTGAAGTATTGCAGTTTTTGAACTAAACGGGTCTTAGCCTAATCTTATTGTTGTTTTATTGTATGGTACACACATGCATGTATGTACATATATTAAGGAATCGGGTGGATAATAGCAAAAGACCTGTTGCTTTACCAGTTACACTTGCTGTAGGGATTGACAAGCGAAGGGAACTCTGAATTTATAATAAATATTCTTTTCTAATCTTATAGAGGTTTAATAAAAAACTAACAATTAGATTAATTTCCCTTCATTTCTCACAAAGTTGGCATAGCAGTATCAGCTCAATGCAATTTTTATTATTTTATGTCGCAATTCCTAATTATTTAATAATAGCGGTGCAAACTAGTTCATTACCAAGGTAATGCAGATAAAAGCTCTCTCTTGTATCAATTGAGATACGATGTCTATAAGGAGAGCAAACTAAACTATTTCTTGTGTCAACCAACTGCATTCAGTTTGAGTAATTTCAATGCAAACTAGAGCAATTGCTGCATGATAAAGATTATGTAGTTCATTTTGTGGATCTCCGCCAATCTTTTCTCTGCACAACGGTTTTTATATACATTTCTATGTACATACATACTTATATGTATGCAGCTACCTTTTTTAAACATAAGCATCCATACCACGTGTATGTTTTTGCACACACTTTAGCATGTTGTGATATCATAGACTTTTTCCTGTAAAAGTACTCCCCAGCATGAGCTCTCACGGCACAATCGCGTGATTTTTACGCACACAAACTCGATTCGCCGGTTGGCTGGCGCTATTTTGAGAGTTGGCTTGGGGTTACTTACATCTACAGAATAAATACTCATTTGATGGAAAGAATTTTGGGTAAAATCATTTGATGGAAATAATTGTGGAATCGCTTAACGCTAGAATTTCAATAGACAAATTCTATATTCGATATTTAAACATTTATGGTAATTGTCAATTTAGTTGTCGAAGACGTCATAATACTGAAGAAGATTTAAAAATTCCATTACCTGCCACTGGCATGCCAAATTGAACGACTTGTGCGAATTCTCTACGAAATGGAATAGAGTATTCACTCTCAAAGAGCAAGTCCGAATTTTATGAGTGTATTCCCCTAATTGTTTGCCGGCTGTTACTGTATATGTATAGATATGGTATATATTTCTAAAAACATGGAAATATAAATGCTCTCAGCTTATATGTACTCGTACATATGTATGTGTGTGCATAAATTTAACGCCTAATACTAATAAATTATAATATTTATACTTGCATGACGGCATAATGCTTAATTTTTCAATAGCCACATACAGATGTACATATACATATTGTTGGTTCACCGTTTACATATTTTTAATTATAATACAAATACAAATTTATAATATTTATTAACAATGCATAAAATGTGCAATAAAAAAGTTAATAGTAATTTATTACTATGTTTGCATATACATTTGTATTATGTATTTTGTACGTGTCAAGGTTCTATACTTATTTTTTAAATTTGAATGTATATAGTCGCATTATAAACACACTAATTTATTAAACCTTCACATTCATTTCGCATATAAAGGTAAAAGGCCTTGACCTTAAGATGAGGTATATGACCATGTATAAACACAGCAACATTTTGCTTCCCCTTATTCATTTGGAGAAAATGAAAATGTTTGCATTCGGCTACATAAAAAAAATGTTGATGATTCTCTCAGGAGTCTACCACCCACCTGCAGACATTCTTTTAAGGCTTTTGTTTGATGTGGAAGAGCGCGCAAAATGTGTCCATACTCTCACGAATTATTTGAAATACATGTCGGTCTAGCTAAACAGTCGTTGAGTTCATTTTAAGCGTACCACACGAGAGACGTAACATATAAAATCGTGAGGGATAAGTAAAAAAAAAGAAATTTATTATTAGGTTGGTAAATTTTACTATTAGTGAAAATTTCTAACATATCTTTGGACAAATTAAATGTTTCTGTTTCATAAAAATCAAATTTATTGTACATATGAACTTAAATAAAAATTTAAATTTGTAAATAAATGTACCTTTTTATCCAATTTCATAGATATAAAGGTATGTAGGTAACGAGTGGAATATATCAAAGTGTACTGAAATAAAATACGCATTTATGTTTTAATTCGGCTTCAACTAGTGTTTATATTGGTATACAATTAGCTTATTGCAATGTACAATGAGAAGTGCTCATATAAAATAAAAACCCTTAAGCCACAGGGTTCAACACCTTGCATGCTTATTTTACATGCTACATACCATACTTAAATCTATTAAAATTGTTAATCTCTTCTTAATTAAAATGTTAGTGATGTGTGCTATGTGGAAATTGGTGATTTCCAATGGTGTATCCTTCCCCATGCACCATCATGCGTCTGATTTTCTCTAGACACTTCGATGACATTACGTTTTTGTGCCTATTTACATACATATGTACATGTACATATGGAAATATGTGAAGTGAAATAATTTTTTAAGTAATAAAAAGAATTATGTATGTATATTGAAATGTTTGCTTATGGTTCGATGCGCATGGGATTCTTTAAAGAGTTTGAATAAATGATCACATCTACATGTAGTTATGTATGTGTGCATATGGATACTAAAATTTTGCAAGTTTGCGATTCTTTGCTCTCTTAAAATAGATTATGTTATAATTTCAATTACTTTGATCTCAATTTCAGTAAAACTAATAATAAAGAAACATGCCACCAAATGCCACAGCAAATACACAATCGATAACCAACTCTTTGGTTAACGGAGATGGTGATGATGCGAAATCACTGACTGATAACTCCACAGGTGTACTCTTCGAACAGGATGCAGAAACCTATGATGGTGGCCTTGTGAAGGACATTGAAAAATTTAAAAAAGCCGAAAAACGAAGACTCAAGCTTGTTTGGAGAAATATAATCGTATTCGTCTACGTACATCTAGCTGCTGTATATGGTCTATGGCTAATGATGACATCGGCCAAATGGCAAACTATAACTTGCGGTGAGTAAATATGTATATTTAACTTACATATTATAAAATATTTTTAGTAAATACTGTTTACTAATGATACTAATAATAATATATGGTATGACTGCAATCTAAACAACTAACATAAATGAAGAAATTCGCCAAAATTCTCATTCTATTGAGTGTATCATTATTAAAAAGAAGTGAATTTATTGTATTTTTAGTTACAATATATTGCGATTAAGGTTTTAGTATTCTTATATAGCCCAAAACCACTTGAGAAACGAACTCAAATGGAATTTAATCCCATCGAAGTTTGAATAGTAATTTCAATCAAACATTGAAATAATTATATAAAAAATTTTATTTAGCAATTAATTTTTTTTAACTAGTTTGTTCCCCAAAAAAATATATTTGCGCAGTTGCAAAATTTTTTGTTTTTCTTTTTAGTAGTATTAACTAAATTTTTGTGTAATATTTTGATTGGTGAGATTTATAAACGAATTAGCATTTTCAACCGCAAATAAATATAAAAAGTAATACAAAAATATTACCTGCGTATTATGGATCATTTCAATGTACCGAGGAAAGTGAATCGACATGTTTTGAAGGCATTGGGAGCTCTGAGTGGTGGCAATCGCGATCAAGTCGTTGTCACATCACAAATAATTGACCAAGTCAAGCATCAAATGCGAAACTTGGTACCGGTACCCAATCTCGGTAGGGTTGTGGAAAAGTCATTACAAAATTTAAGCGAAATTGGCTTGATTGATCGGCATGGGATGTATAGATATGCGCTTGGGCGATGCGCCGCCGTCATGCCTGGTCCCAGCCCTCAGCCGAATTCAAGAACTCCTGACCGTCGTGTGTTTCGAGGCAATGTAAGCACACTTTTCAATTTTAAGATTTTATACATTGCACAATGTACGATTATTTCATTGCTTCCACTTAGAATCCACGACATTGCAGTCGAAGCAAATTAGATCCTAATAAGAAACGTGCTCGGGGTTGCAGTGACGAGGAATCCATCTCAGGCGATGAATTTGATCGCGCGCGGAAACGCATGCGTACAAATAATAAGCAAGTGCGTCACTGTGGTCGGTGGGCATATCTTCCTCGCGTGCGACAGCATAGCCAACGTAGTCAACTTAACCAGCAAGCTCTTTTCAAATTCAATGCACCCCATATTTCTCAAGATTTTTACTCGTTGGATTATCCACTTACGCAATTGCAAGAATTTCATTCCTCCAGAGAATACCGAAACCCTTTGGAAGTTGTTAGTAATGACATAATTAATAATACAGCATTGGATTTTACCCTAGCCAATGTGACACCCACACCATCTCTGGAAATAACTGAAATCAATGATGATATAAAAAAAATTGTAGATGTACGAAAAATAGTCGAAACGCCACCATTACAACAACCAAATGAAGAAAACAAGTCGAATGCAGAATATGTAGTGGAGGAATATGAGGAGAAAGAAGAGGGCGTACAAACTGAGCATTTCTCGTCGACAGTAATACGAGGCTATCAAAGCGAATTATGTGGAGATCGTGAAGCAGCCATCGGGAATGGTAACGCGACTACGCAAATACAAAATGTACGAAAAAACACAACAAATCAGAATCAAATTTCAAAATCGTTCGCCTCAAGACGTTTACTGAACACATCCAGTGCTTACGCTTCAGAACATTCTTCTAAAACCATAATGCCGGATTACACTAAATCTTATATAAAGTAAACATATCTGCAATGTGTCATAATATTTGTATGTATTTTTTAATGTTACTCTTATGTTATTTGAATATTTATGACAAATTTGTGAGTATAAGTCTTCATTTTAAGAAAATTCTAATTAAACAAATTGCATAATAACAACACAATACTACAATGTTATCATTACAAATTATGAGATTATCATTACTCTCCTAAGGAGCTTTATTGTAACCGAATGATGTTAATTTGGTGCGAATCCTTTAAAAGTTCAAGATATAACGATATTAATTGATTCCTAAGATATATGTATAAATAGTATTATCGTTTTCACCAGTCCGAATGATTTGCATTTTTAACATTTATATTTTTTCGTAGCTATGTAAGCTAGCAAAATTACATTTCTAATTACATTATATATTTTTATACAAATTCATTTTGCAGCCATCTTGTTATATGTTATCTCCGGGCTGGGTATTACCGCGGGTGCACATCGCCTTTGGGCTCATCGCTCCTATAAAGCGAAATGGCCACTGCGCGTTATTCTAATGATTTTCAACACGATCGCCTTCCAGGATGCTGCCTACCATTGGGCACGTGACCATCGTGTGCATCACAAATATTCGGAAACGGATGCTGACCCACATAATGCCACTCGCGGTTTCTTTTTCTCACACATCGGCTGGCTATTGTGCAAGAAACACCCTCAAGTCAAAGCCAAAGGTAAAGGAATGGACTTGTCCGATCTACGCGCCGATTCGGTTTTGATGTTCCAAAAAAAGTAAAGATCACGATTACATTTTATTGTTTTCACTATTTCAATCGATATAATTTATTTTATCTAGATATTATATGATTTTGATGCCACTTCTATGTTTTTTGATACCAACTCTGATTCCGATGTATGCTTGGAATGAAAAATTCTTAAATTCATGGTTTGTCGTTGCTATGTTCCGTTGGTGTTTCACCTTAAATGTAACTTGGTTGGTTAATAGCGCAGCCCACAAATTTGGTGGTAAACCCTATGACAGGTATAAACATGCATAATATTATAAAGAGAAATTCTTTCCCTCAATCTTAACATTTTGTTTTATTAATTTGTGATATTAACTATTATTTATTAAACTCTCTTTATACATAGATTTATCAATCCATCCGAAAATAAATCAGTAGCTCTTTTCGCATTCGGTGAAGGCTGGCACAACTATCATCATGTATTCCCCTGGGATTACAAGACCGCTGAACTTGGTGATTATTCGCTGAATTTAACCACGGCTTTCATTGACTTCTTCGCCAAAATCGGTTGGGCATACGATCTAAAGCAGGTGTCTCATGACATTATCGAAAAGCGTGTTAAACGTACGGGCGATGGTACACACGCCACTTGGGGTTGGGGCGATAAGGATCAATCCAAAGAAGAAATGGCGGATGCGTTAATTACACACAAAAAAGCTGAATAAAATATATACGGTACGTCCAGCAACGAGCGGCAGATCAAAGTGAGCGTGTGTGTATGTGAGAAGATATTTAGTGTGGGTGAAATATCAGCGAAACTAATAGGGAGTGGCTGCTGGAGTAGTCATCTCTTAGGTAATAGTAATACAAAACCTGTATATGAATAATGTAGTGTTGTGTGTGGAGTTTTCAAACAATATCGTACAAACAATATGACATGCCGTCAAAGAGCTTAACAAGATACGTTTTGGTTTTTGCAATGTAAACTAATAAATTATAAACTAGCAGATAAATTTCTTTTATACATACAAAGATATGTATGAGCACTTGAAAATTGTATTAATTATTTTTTTCCATAACGTGTCTTGAAAGGTAATAATTATACCGAGGGTCTCATGTTCCCAGAATTGTATGCTAGCACATAAGTATGTAAAATAAGTAAGGCAATCGCCTCCAGAAATAGCGTACCTATATGCTTAACGAATATCTGATGCAGTCGTACCCACTAGTGATACCATATAATTAGAAAATAGAAGCGAATTAATTTAGAATCAAAATAAAAATCGCCAGTTTATTACTAAGTTCAAATTCTGTATTGCATAAATGAATATGAAATGTTTATAAAACTTTTAAATGCAACAGGTGAATTAATGATAGTTAAAGCGCTAAACACCACACAGCACACGCTATTTAAAAACTACCAAAACATGGGGTTATTAGTATTCATAAATAAAAACAGAAAATATTATACAAAATATGTTATTTCTAAAAAATATTAATATAAAATATTACATATAAATTGTTGAGTAATACTAAAAAAAAAAATACAAACGACTATTTTTTAGCATTCTTAAAGTGATTCCATTATTTTTATTTACATACATATATGATGGCCAATGTGAACCAAACATAATTACAAAAAGGAAATATATTCTTATTTTTATTAAATGGTTGGTAAATGGTATTTACTTGAAAATTTGTTATCATGCGTATAGTGTTTAGATAAATTTGAAAAAAATCAATTGTAAGTATTAAATTATTTTGAATGGATATTCGAAACTTCTATTGTTAGACATATAGGGGCTAAGCCAAGTTTTCGCTAAAATGTATCTATTTTAGGCACAAAACTACACTGTTGTGAGTAAAACACGCTCTCTTATTTTCATTGAGATAACTCACACAGTGGCCGCTAATTCGTAGTTCTTTATATTAGATATATGGAGGCCAAGGAAAACATTTACCCGTTACAACTAATTTTAAACATTCAGACATACTGTTATCAGGAAAGTATTTCAATTATTTATTGCACACATTGACCGATACTTTCGGTAAAAAGTCACTGGCGTCCTCATATTTGAGACCTAGGGGCTTGAACTGTTTTGGCTCAACTTTAAGGGCATTATTAGTGCAAAGATTCATTCCGTTATACTTACAGATTTGAGTTCTATATCTTAATTTACCAAACTTCTTATGGTATCGAGGAATTTGGATGCTAGTTTTCATCAAGATATTTTAATCTTTACTCAAGTTGGAGCCTGCACGGACGGACGGATAGACAGACATGTGAACAAAACTATTATACTCTGAAGCAACAAGTTGCAAGAGTTTAAAAAAGTTGTGCATTCAAGAACTTGATATTGATCATCCAAGTTCTCTTATATACAGACAGGCAGACGAAAATATATCTATTGAAATATGTTTGCGATATCAATGAAAACTTTCAATAATAACAGAAAAACGCAAAAGAACGGCAGTAGTTACCCTTACAACAACAACTACGTAGTAGTTCTTTGAATTGGTTAACTCAATCCGTTAAAAAATCCTAAAAAGATGTAAAGATGTAAAGAAAGAAAACAAAGTAGGTGTGACACTTTTCAGTTTTATTAGTTTGTTTCATAAGTTACACATTACATATTTTATATATTAAAGCAAATTCAAGATATACAAACAATCTTAAAAAAACGAAAGCTGTGTGTAACAACTAAACATATATGTTTGTGTTTTGATTCCGGTGCATGTACAACTTTGACTATGATTCGCAAACGTTCTGATTTAGATTTAGCGTTTTTAAAGATGTTATATGTATATTGAAATTTTAATAGAATACTCATCGTAACATATAAATTAATTTTAAATTCTGATAGTTGTAAACTTATACTCAGAACAAATCAGTTTCCATCATATGTATGGTGCTATTTTTTTCGCCCTTCTGTCTGCTTAGATTCTTTCTCTTTTTTCTCTGCTTCCAAACGTACAGCTTCAGCTGTTTGTTTTTCAAGCTCTTTTTGTTCAGCTGCAGCAGCAACGTTTTTATCATCCCAATCGGCCATTGACTTCTCTCGTTTTAACCACGAATGTGTTGTATCGGATTTGAACGCTTAAACAAAAATTAATTTTTAATGTGGCAATTTGTTTTCAATTATTAAGTTTTTAACTTTCAATTTTTAATTTATTATTGCCATGTGCATTTACAATTATTTGCATATATTAACTTACTTTGTATAAACCATTTGATGCCTTGCTGCATTTCTTCAATTATTTCTTTTGATGTGTACATGACTTCGTTTTGAACGGCCTGGTTAAAGTTTGCTGCATCAAACACGGCTGAATATAATGAGCTTCTATCGTGATTAAGTGCTCTCTGTGGGAATTTCGCAAGTGTTTGCGCCAATTCCACAGATTTAATTAATGATTGGCCAGGGGGTACGACGCGATTAACAACGCCCATAGAAAGCGCTTCTTCAGCACAAACTTGTCTTCCAGTCAGTATTAAATCCAATGCTCTCGAAAATCCGATCAATGCCGGTAATCGTGCTGTACCACCATCGATAACGGGAACCCCAAAACGCCGATTGAAGAAACCCAGCACAGCTGTTTCCTCCATTACTCGGAGATCACACATTAATGCAAGTTCCAAACCATTAGCAATACAATAACCGCTAATACCACATACAACCGGCTTTTGTATTTGTCGCCGTGTTGGTCCCACTGACCCTTCATGCGCCATAAGTATGTCAATACTAACCTGGTCTCCACCATCTTTTCCAAGTTCTAGAATATCATAACCGGCACAAAATGATCCCCCAATACCATATAAAACCGCAACAGGAGATGAATCATCGGCCTCAAATGCATTGAATGCTTCGCAAAGTTGTGTGGCAGTGGCTACATTAATGGCATTTCTCACCTGTGGTCTATTTATGCCTATTAATGTGACATTTTTATCTTTATCTACTATTATATTCTTTTCAATTGGAACATCTACAATGTAAAAGAATAATAGTATTCCTTCTAAACTTATGTCATTCAGAACACGATTCGACTTACCTTTATCAGCTTTTTGCAGGCAGTTCGTAATACATATACTTCTAGAACCTATGTTTTCAAAGTCCGTTGAGAACTTGGTGGCGATACTTTTTTTGTTTATAAACTGTGAAATTCGTCGTAGCAAAATCATTATATCTGGCTATGTGGTATTAAGTTTTTTAGCTTGATGTTCAATAAATGACTGTAAGCTATAGTCGATAACTATAGAGATAGTAATGTTTATTTCGATACCCCTAGAAATCCCTTTTGATTTATATGTTAATACCAAATAATAATTTAAGCAGGTATACAAAAGTTCACATGATTTACTCTCCCTTACCATTTTCTTCACAATTTAAAACATAAAACTTGTTCTTCTAAACATGTTTTCTATATTTTCCAATAACGATTAGTCGATATCTATCGACTAGCGCTTTTTATTTGTAATATTCTCGTTGGAAGCAAATTTTTGTTCGTGGAGAATTTCTTCTTGTTCCCAAGCTGGTATAACTTTCGGTTTTACTTGCCAGGAATCTGTTTTTTGACCTCTACTTTTTACTGCAAAAGTAAATAACAATAACTATAGGTCATCGAATTTTATTTAAAATCTCACCATCTTTATATCTGGTTATTCCCTCTTTTATTTCATGCAAAAGTTTGTTATTAAACGATCTGGTTTCTTCTGCTATTGCCGCACACAGTCCATTTCTGCGTTCATAACAGTTTTTGTACAAAGCTTGACGGTCTTTTTGTAATGCTTCTAAAGGAAACTTCGCAATGGAGAAGGCCAAATTAACTGCCTGTCCAAGAGCTGTACCTGTTGCTACCAAACGATTTATTAAACCCATTTGTAGTGCTTCTCGTCCACAAACACGTCGGCCTGTTAATAATAAATCTAATGTTCGCGAGTACCCAATCATTGCTGGTAACCTTGCTATCCCTCCGCAACTTACGTTATGTCCAGTGTACCGTCCAAAAAATCCTAGAACTGCAGTGTCTTCCATAACACGAAGATCACAAAACAGCGCCAAATCTAAACCATCTCCAACACAATAGCCATTGATGCCACAAACGATAGGTTTTTGAGAATGTCTATGTATTGTCTTGGAAGTTGAAAGTGCACTAAAATTTTCTTTATTATTGCTTTCTAATGTTGTCAGATCCTGTCCAGCACAAAATGAGCCACCTATACCATAAATTACAGCTACGGGTGAAGTTTCATCTCTTTCGAAATCAGCCAATGCCTCACTTAATTTTTGTGCGGTCTCAGAATTTATTGAGTTACGATATGCAGGGCGATTTAAGCCAATTAAAGTGATATGGTCATCTTTATCAACGTATATTGGCGATTCCGTGTACATTTCTGTTCCCATTGGTTTTGTTGATACGTTCTGTCTTCCTTGTAAACATTTCTCCTGTTATAATAAACGTTAAGCTATTTTAACATCGTTATTCAACATCCTTAAACTTACAATTATTAACCTGTGCAAGCTGGTGAGTCTGTATCGATTCAATAAATTCGACATTACCTCATTAAAAACTTACTATCAAAACAACAATTGGGAAATAACAACGGGCTTTCATAGATTGCACAAACAACTACAGAATTATCGGTTAAATACAATCAAACTTTCTGATATTGTAATTAATCGATACCTAGTTTTAACAGGAAAAAAGATGAATGTACTGTAAACAACTGAAATACGTTTATTAACTACGTTAGAACTTACGTTTATTACGATAAACACATATATATGTAAATGAACATGAAATTAGACTAAATTTATCAATATGTGTTTTCGTGTATTGGAATAATTTATTTATACAATTTGTATTACATTACTTCGAATATATCAGACCCATTTTATTGTTTATATAATAAAAGTTTAGTACATGCCAGACGTAGAACAAATATTTTAGTCCAAACCTTGATATATATCCAATTCATTTTGACACCTCTACACAAGTCTCATTTTTAGTGGTCAAAGCAACTCTGAGTTCTGAAAGAGAAAAGCGTGAGACAATTCATACAGAAAGAAAAGTAAAATATTGTATTGGCGCGTGAAAAGTGAACATTGCGTCGATTTTTGGCAAATTTTTGAATAATTTGCAAAATATAAATTGTAAAACAGTCATAAAAACGAAGTTTGTTTTCGAATTGTTTGTGTACATTAAGTGAGCGGTGCAAAAGAGCTGGGAACACACAGTTCGTTGCTTTTAAAATTCGGTATATGAAGTGTTTGAGATTTTTCAACCGCGCCGTCACCGTCATCGTTGAGTAAATTATTTCTTAAAGACTCTGCTGCTAACAAGAAGCACAACGCGAAACTTGCTTCGGTACCAGAATCAAGATAATTTTTTACAAGCTATTGAAAGATGCCTATTTGTAAAAGAGAGGGATTCGATAATATGCAATCCCGTAATAGGGATGAAAGATTTCAAGACAACGACGAGGTGTTCTTTTGTGAAGTTACAAAAGATATTTTTCGCGATTATGAGTAAGTGACAATTACGTTTACAGTTATTTTAAAGTTGAAAATCTCTATCTGCAAG